AAACTTGCTGAAAACAGAGGATTTTAGCACCTAAATTGAAGCTTTCCTTCTATTTCTCAAGCAGAAACTTCCCTCCCCCAACCCCCTTCCGGGTGCCAAATCCTTCCTGGAACTGGCCTTGGGGTTAATGTTTAACGGGAATGGACTCTGCCCCCTGCTCCCCATGCAGAGATTTGGGCTTTAGGGTTCATAATTTGCCGTTCCCCCCCTTATCCTATTTTTGGGGTGTTTTTGTGCCACGTTTCTGGTGGGAGGCTCCATGGCTGCGTTGTTTCACTTCCTATCCCCATGCCGGGGGCGGGGGGGGAGGCCGGGGGGGGTGTTGTTCCCCTGTTGAAGGGTGAAAGAAGGCCCCTGAACCCTGTCTCTTGGTGCCGTCCCAGGTCCATGGCATGGGAGTGAGTGCTGAAGGATGCTGAAGAAGAGCAGCTTGGTGCTGTGGGGGGCGGCGCTCTTCATCGCCTGGAACGGCCTCCTCCTCCTCTTCCTCTGGAGCCGCCCGACCTCGCCTCCCGACGGCGACCTCCTCACGGCCCAAGTGATCCGCTTGGCCCAGGACGCCGAAACCGAGCTGGAGCGGCAGAAGCAGCTCCTGCACCAGATCCACCGCTACAGCGGCCTCTGGAGCCGGCGGCACCGCCGCGGTCCCGGCACCCCCAAGCCGCCCCCTCCGCCACCAGCGCCGCCGTCGCCGGCCCCGCCGCACCCCACCGAGCCCGGCGGCACCGTGCTGCCCGTGCTGGTGCTGGCCTGTGACCGCAGCACCGTGCGCCGCTGCCTCGATAAGCTCCTGCGGTACCGGCCTTCGGCGCAGCAATTCCCCGTCATCGTGAGCCAGGACTGCGGGCACGCCGAGACCGCCCGGGTCATCGCTTCCTATGGGGATGCCGTGGCTCACATCCGGCAGCCGGACCTCAGTGACATCCCGGTGCCGGCGGAGCATAGGAAATTCCAAGGATACTACAAGATCGCCCGGCATTACCGCTGGGCGTTGGGGCAGGTTTTCCGCACGTTCCGGTACCGTGCTGCCATCGTGGTGGAGGATGACTTAGAAGTTGCTCCGGATTTCTTTGAGTATTTCCAAGCGGCGTTCCCGCTGCTCCTGGCTGACCGCAGCCTCTGGTGCGTGTCCGCTTGGAACGACAACGGGAAAGAGCAGATGGTGGACGTCGCGCAGGCTGAACTGCTTTACAGGACTGATTTCTTTCCCGGCCTTGGTTGGTTGCTTTTAGCCGAGCTTTGGGATGAACTCGAGCCCAAATGGCCGCGAGCTTTCTGGGACGATTGGATGCGGCAGCCGGAGCAGCGCCGCGATCGCTCCTGCGTCCGGCCCGAGGTCTCCCGTACGATGACGTTCGGTCGCAAAGGCGTGAGCCACGGGCAGTTCTTTGACCAGTATTTAAAATTCATCAAACTCAACGACCGTTTCGTGCCTTTTACCCAACTGGATCTTTCTTACCTCAAAAAGGACGAGTACGAACGTTCCTTCCTCCCTAAGGTTTACTCCGCTCCGGAGGTGAGGGTGGAAGAGCTCCAGGGGAACCGGCGCCGGGAGCTGGGCACCGTCCGCCTCCAATACAGCGGCCGTGACTCCTTTAAGGCCTTCGCCAAAGCTTTGGGGCTGATGGACGACCTCAAGTCCGGCGTCCCCCGCGCCGGCTACCGCGGCATCGTCAGCTTCGTCTACAGGGGACGGCGCGTTTACCTGGCGCCCCCCTCGGACTGGACGGGATACGATCCCAGCTGGAGTTAGCAGGAATTGCGCTGCTCAGTGTGGTTTTGTTCCGGGGGGGGGATTTCTCCCCCCCTTTTTCATTGCTTTTGGGTTTTTTTTTGTGGTGTGGATTTAGAGGGGAGGAGCCAGGACACGATGCGGGGCGAGTGGAGGAATGATTTTGCAGAATAAATGGCAAAAAAAACCTAAAACTCCTCCCAAAAGTCAGTTTTTTTTGCTGGTACTTTCATCAGCACCACTCGGGTCCTCTATTGCACTTGCAGGGCTTTGTTCTTATATTCAGCTTAATGCTCTTGGTGCTACAGACCATAAACTGACCTGTGTGGGTCTACACAGATCTATTAGGTAGGGGGGTCTGTGGGGATCTACGGGAGTCTGGGCAAACTAGTGACACTGGGAAGGATTTATGCCACCCTCCAGCAGGATTCGGGTTAAATCTGGGTGATTTTAAGGATATTTTGGAAGCAGTTTCCTCCCCACCTCCACTGCTGGTGCTGATTAGAGCCAATTTTCACTTAAAAGGGGGACAAAGACGGATTTTGGGGTGTTATCAGCACTTTCCCCTTGATGCAGCAGCATGGAGCCCCTCTGACATTAACCAGAACCCCCCCAGTTTGGGGGTTTCTCCCCCAGGCAGGTACTATTTTGAGGTGGAAAATCCCCACTTTCCAGAGTTGCTTCCTCAGGGACAATGTTCAAAATGGGACAGACTTCCCCAAAACCCTGTCCGGTTTGCACTGGAACTGTATTTTGGTGGAAAATACACCCAAATTGGAGTCTTCGGGGTATAAAAGTGTCTCCTGAGCCCCGTTTTTCTGAATACCCGGCCATTATTAACCCACGAAATTGGCGGGGGGGGGGGGGCAGTCCTCACTCAGGTCCGCAACTGCCGCTCGTTGCTGGGCGCGCAGTTCTCACTCAGGTCCGCACTGAGGAAGGCTGTCGGGAGGGGGCTGCGCGGGGAGGAGCAGCCAATGGGAAGCCGCAGTGGTAGGGCAAGGAGCCAATCAGAGAGTGCTGAGGCGGGGTTCTAGGGCTGGCGGGAGCGGTGAGGGCGGGATGGTGCGGGCGAGGCAGGAGGCTGAGGTTAAGAAAATGAACTCCAAATGCATCTGCCTCCGCGCTGGGGTCTGTTATTGCGAGAAAGAGTCCGTCACTCATGGAGAAAACACCTGAAGCTGTTCTCTGAGGCCTCTTTTCATAGGGTGGTGCAAGGTTTGTCTGTCATCCCAAAGGGGTTTGGGCTTCATGGATGGGGCTGCTGTGGAGGCTCTGCTCGAGGAATGGGGGCTGTGTGCCCTTTGTGATAAACGATCTGCCAGACAAGTTGCTTATGTGAGGCTGGTGAGGTGTCTTTGCTTGAAAAGAAGCTGATTCCCGTCTTGCGCAGCAGTGGAGAGTCAGCTCTGGGCCTGCTGAGTTACAAAGAAAGGCATTTTTTTTTTGTTGTTTAAGCTTTTTTTTTTTTTTTGCATAGACTTTCAAATTAGATCTTCATAAAGCTTTTCAGGTGACAAGTGGACGGAACGGAGTGTTGGAAGCTTGTCCTTTGGAGCAGGACACTGCAAAAGAAGCATTTTGATTTTCCCTCGATGTCATGTAGGTGTTGCCAAACCTTGTGCTTAACCAGCTCTTGTCTTTGAGGACAATATCACCCATGACCTACTTTACCAAGTGGAGAAACAACTAATTACACACCGAGATGGGCTGTAATTTGGGTTTAGTGGTGACCTGTGGGTTTGTCAGGTGTTTTATTTAAAATTAGGGCCCTGGAGATGAAAGCAGCTGTCCTCCCTGCTGCCTTTCCTTGTGGTTTCTCTTCTTCCTTAGGCTGACATTACAAGTCTCTGGGGACAGGGAGGTAAATCTGGCAGCAAAGACAGAGCGATTTGGGCTGTAAGAGGCAGAGACCTGCCAGGTCCTGCCTGCACTGCCTGATAGCAGTGCTTTATTATGTGGTTTAACCATAGTAACAACTTCCTGTTGTGTCAAGATGCTGAGTTGTTTATTTATTTCCCTTTCTATGCATTTCTAGGTGGTGAAATAGCGGATGAAATCCTGCCCGTGGCCTCTTTCCCTGCTCACATCCTGGCTGCGATTGCAAAACCACAGGGAGGCCCCAGCCCGAGTGATCCCGGGAGGCACAAGAAGTGTTTTTTTCCCCTAAATTCTCTACAAATCCTAAGCAGAAACTTCTCTGCTGGCAAAACCTTCCTACAAGGCGTCAAGCAGCATCAGCAAAACCATTTTTCTTTCTCAAACTGAGCTCTTCTAACTCTTTTAGGGGAGGTTCTCCTCAGTTTTCTGGGTCACGCTTCCATCGATAAACCCCCTTAATAGACACAGACTCGCCCCTATGCGAGGAGGGACTGGGAGGGGAGGGGGGGAGCCCACTGTCACCGCGGGAGAGCAGATCGGAAAGATCCATTCTGATTGGTTGATACCTGCCAGCCAATAAGAAGCCTCAGCGCGTCCGACGGCCAATAGGAAGAGGCATTTGTGATCCCACTCCCTCTATTCACACCCGTGCGGGGAATCTCCAGAGTGCAGCGGAGGAAAGCGCGATGCGACGAGACGGGACGCTCCAGGAGGCACCAGAACAAAATAAATCCGTAAGTTTAATTTTCAATAGTAGCTCTTGGGCAACAGAAGAGCAAAATAAAAAAAAAACTGAAACCGTTTATTTTATTTTTTTTTTCTCTAATGTATGTGGGATAATGGGGTGTAATTAGCAGAGCACAAGATTTCAAGATTAATTAGTTCTTAAATGTTTCAGGCCATTTCCAAGGATGATCTTAATCTTTAGGAGACTTCACCTCTGCAAGAGACAGCAGCTGGCGAGACCAGGGCTGTGCTAGACATAAGTATTTTTCCAGAAATTGACAGATTTTGGTGTTTAGTCTTACTTCTTTGTATCTGTGCACACAAACCTTAAAGCAAACCACTGCTCATACCTTATTTAACTTCTATTTTTCGTTTATAACCAGCTTTCAGAGCTGCAGAACCTTGGTGCTACCACTCGTTGCACCTGCTTAACTTTCTGGGATGATTTTCAGCTTTTTAGGAGGCTTTTTCTTTACATAGTTTCTGTAGGGTTTGGCCAAGGGGACACAAAAGAACATTGGAGGGGGGTGTGAGTGAACGCAGCTCTGGCGGGGGAGGTCTTTTTGAGGGGAAAAGCCCCATTTTGGAGCCGGAGGAAGGAGGGGGGTGCAGAGGCGCGTGGAGGTTGGTTCGGTCGCTTCCGCCAGAGAGGGGAGGGGGGATGAGAAGGGAGCGGTTGATTCGGTCGCGTCCGCCGGAGAGGGGAGGGGGCGTGAGAACGGGGAGGTGGTTTCTGTTGCGTCCGCCACAGGGCTATATAAAGGGCCGCCGAGGGGCGCTGTTTTGCAGTCGGGAGGCGGCAGCTGAAGGAGGAGGAGCGTTGCTGAGCGGAGTGGGCGGAGCGGGCGGAGCAGCGTCTCGAAGCCGGCGGGCCGGCTGTATCACGGGGGACAGTCATATCGGTGCCATCTACGTCCAGCATGCCGCTAACGTTGTTGTCGAAGCGCAGGCGGCTGTCGCTGTCGGATCTTATTCTCCGCGCCGTCTGCTTTTCGTCGGGCCGTAGAGGTACTTCGTTAGTTGTCATTAAGAAGGTTCTCAGTGATGAGGGTTACGATGTGCAACGGAATAGCAGTCGCTTGAAGGCGGCGCTCAAGTCTTTGATCAACAAGAGGCTGCTGGAGCGGGTGACGGGGAGCGGCGCCGCTGGTTCGTTCCGTATCGGCCCCATAGGTAGGGAGCGATTAGATAGAAATACGCGGCGCGGGAGGGCGGCCGGTGAATCCCGACGGCGGCGGCGGGCCAAGAAGACGAAGGAGCGCAAGCGCGTAGTTAATGCCTCTTCTCAGCGGCTGAAGAAGCCGTGTAGACCGGGGGGAACGGCGAGGGCAGTGCCCGCAGGACGTAACAGAGCAGAGGATGCGGCCGAGGGCGCGGAGGTAGCTGAGGCTGCGATGGAGCTGCCGGGGGTGTGGAGGTTCGAGGCGGATTGTTAGTAAGATTGATGGAACAATAAACGTGGAACCCAAAAGCTCTTTTAAGAGCCATGTGGGGGGTTCAGCGGAAGAGCTGGTCACCGGTGCCGTTTAGAGAACGCCGCTGTGGGGCAGTTGTGGAGCCAGTGAGGGCTGCGGGGGAGGGAAATTGCCGCTTCGTGTCACTAAAAAGAGCTGCACCGAGCGACTGGGGTGGCGAGGCGGCTTTAAAAGGCGCACCGAGGGAAGGGTGGGCTGCCCCGCACCGCTAAAAGAGCTGCACCGAGGGACAGAGGGGCGCGGCAGCGGGTGTGCACCGAGGGGTGGCTGAGGAGGGGTGGTCGCCGCCCTGTGTCACTGAAAGAGCTGCACCGAGGGACAGGCGGGGCGGCGGTTAGAAGGGTTACGCCGGGGGGGGGGAATGTGTCGCCCCGTGTCACTGAAAGAGCTGCACCGAGGGACAGGCGGGGCGCAGCAGGGGGTGTGCACCGGGGGGTGGTTCATGGCGGGTGATCGCTGTCTCGTGTTACTGAAAGCTGTACCGAGGGTAGGGCTGGGAGGCGATGGAAGGGGTGCGCCGGGGGGCGTGTGCCTGGTGCCCCGTGTCACTGAAAGAGCTGCACCGAGGGACGGCCGGGGCGCAGCAGGGGGTGTGCACCGAGGGGTGGGTGATGAGGGGTGATCGCCTTCCCGTGTCACTGAAAGAGCTGCACCGAGGAACGGGCGGGGCATCAGTGGAAGGGCTATGCCGGGGAGAGTGTCTGGTGCCCCGTGTCACTGAAAGAGCTGCACCGAGGGACAGGCGGGGCGCAGCAGGGGGTGTGCATTGAGGGGTGGGTGAAAGTGATCGCCGCCCCGTGTCACTGAAAGAGCTGCACCGAGGGACAGGCGGGGCGGCAGCGGAAGGGCTGTGCCGGGGGGGGTGTGTGTGTGTATGTGTCTGGTGCCCCGTGTCACGGAAAGAGCTGCACCGAGGGACAGGCGGAGCGCAGCAGGGGCTGTGCACCTAGGGGAGGTTCATGGCGGGTGATCGGTGTCTCGTGTCACTGAAAGCTGTACCGAGGGTAGGGCTGGGAGGCGATGGAAGGGGTGCGCCGGGGGGGTGTGTGTGGAGCCCCGTGTCACTGAAAGAGCTGCACCGAGGGACTGGCAGGGCGCAGCAGGGGGTGTGCGCCGAGGGGTGGGTGATGAGGGGTGATCGCCTTCCCGTGTCACTGAAAGAGCTGCAGCGAGGGACCGGCGGGGCGCAGCAGGGGGTGTGCATTGAGGGGTGGGTGAAAGTGATCGCTGCCCCGTGTCACTGAAAGAGCTGCACCGAGGGACAGGCGGGGCGGCAGCGGAAGGGCTGCGCCGGGGGGTGTGTGTGTGTGTATGTGTCTGGTGCCCCGTGTCACTGAAAGAGCTGCACCGAGGGACGGCCGGGGCGCAGCAGCGGGTGTGCACGGAGGGGTGGGCGATGAGGGGTGATCGCCTTCCCGTGTCACTGAAAGCTGCACCGAGGAACGGGCGGGGCGTCAGTGGAAGGGCTATGCCGGGGAGAGTGTCTGGTGCCCCGTGTCACTGAAAGAGCTGCACCGAGGGACAGGCGGGGCGGCGGTGGAAGGGCCGCGCTGGGCGGGGGGGGTGCGGGCATGTGTTTGGTGCCCTGTGTCACTAAAAGAGCTGCACCGAGGGACAGGCAGGGCGCAGCAGGGAGTGGGCACGGGCGGGTGGGTGATGAGGGGTGGTCCCCTTCCCGTGTTACTGAAAGAGCTGCACCGAGGGACAGGCGGGGCGCAGCAGGGGGTGTGCACCGAGGGGTGGGTGAAGGTGGTCGCCGCCCCGTGTTGCTAAAAGAGCTGCACCGAGGGACAGGCGGGGTGGCAGTGGAAAGGCTACGCTGGGGGTTGTGTGTCTGGTGCCCCGTGTCACTAAAAGAGCTGCACCGAGGGACAGGCGGGGCGCAGCAGGGGCTGTGCACCGAGGGGCACGAGATGAGGTGGGGGACAAAAAGCCGCGTCGGGGGCAGAGGAATCTCCACCTGGCGTTAAGAGCTGCACCGAGGGACTGGCGGAACGAGGCGCTGTTGAAAGGTGAGCCTAGGAAAGGGCGAGCTGTCCCGCTTGTGACTGCTGTTGCGCAACGCGAAGAGCTGCACCGAGGGACAGGGGGAGGCAGGCGGGGGTGTGCAGCGAGGGGTGGTTCATGAGGGTTGATCTCCGTCTCGTGTCCTTGAAAGCTGCACCGAGGGACGGGCGGGGAGGCGGTGGAAGGGCTGCGCCGAGGGTTGTGTGTCTGGTGCTCCGTGTCACGAAAAGAGCTGCACCGAGGGACAGGCGGGGAGGCGGTGGAAGGGCTGCGCCGGGGGTTGTGTGTCTGGTGCCCCGTGTCACGAAAAGAGCTGCACCGAGGGACAGGCGGGGCGCAGCAGGGGGTGTGCACGGACAGGTGGGTGATGTATGATCGTCTCCCCGTGTCACTGAAAGCTGCACCGAGGGACTGGCGGGACGTCAGCGGAAGGGTTATGCTGGGGAGAGTGTGTCTGGTGCCCTGTGTCACTGAAAGAGCTGCTCCGAGGGACAGGCAGGGCGCAGCAAGCCGTGTGCACCGAGGGGTGGGTGAGGGTGATCGCCGCCCCGTGTTGCTAAAAGAGCTGCGCCGAGGGACAGGCGGGGCGCGGCAGGGAGTGGGCACGGACGGGTGGGTGATGAAGTGTGATCGCCGCCCCGTGTCACTGAAAGAGCTCCACCGAGGGACTGGCGGGACGTCAGTATAAGGGCTGCGCCGGGGGTTGTGTGTCTGGTGTCCCGTGTCACTGAAAGAGCTGCACCGAGGGACAGGCGGGGCGCAGCAGGGGGTGTGCACCGAGAGGTGGTTCGTGGCGGGTGATCGCTGTCTCGTGTCACTGAAAGCTGTACCGAGGGTAGGGCTGGGAGGCGATGGAAGGGGTGCGCCGGGGGGCGTGTGTCTGGTCCCCCGTGTCACTGAAAGAGCTGCTCCGAGGGACAGGCGGGGCGGCAGTGGAAGGGCTATGCCGGGGAGAGTGTCTGTTGCCCCGTGTCACTGAAAGAGCTGCACCGAGGGACAGGCGGGGCGCAGCAGGGAGTGTGCACCGAGGGGTGGGTGATGAGGGGTGATCGCCGCCCCTTGTCACTGAAAGAGCTGCACCGAGGGACAGGCGGGGTGCAGCAGGGAGTGTGCACGGACGGGTGGGTGAAGGTGATCACCGCCCCGTGTTACTGAAAGCCGCACCGAGGGGCAGGCGGGGCGGCGGTGGAAGGGCTGCGGTGGGCGGCGGGGGGGTCGGGCATGTGTCTGGTGCCCTGTGTCACTAAAAGAGCTGCACCGAGGGACAGGCGGGGCGCAGCAGGGGCTGTGCACCGAGAGGTGGTTCATGGCGGGTGATCGGTGTCTCGTGTCACTGAAAGCTGTACCGAGGGTAGGGCTGGGAGGCCATGGAAGGGGTCCGCCGGGGGGCGTGTGTCTGGTGCCCCGTGTCACTGAAAGCTGCTCCGAGGGACTGGCGGGGCGTCAGTGGAAGGGCTATGCCGGTGAGAGTCTGTTGCCCCGTGTCACTGAAAGAGCTGCACCGAGGGACAGGCGGGGCGCAGCAGGGGGTGTGCATTGAGGGGGTGGGTGAAGGTGATCGCCGCCCCTTGTTACTGAAAGAGCTGCACCGAGGGACAGGCGGGGCGCAGCAGGGCGTGTGCACCGAGGGGTGGGTGAAGGTGATCGCCGCCCCGTATTGCTAAACGAGCTGCACCGAGGGACAGGCGGGGCGGCGGTGGAAAGGCTACGCTGGGGGTTGTGTGTCTGGTGCCCCGTGTCGCTGAAAGAGCTGCGCCGAGGGACAAGCGGGGCGTAGCAGGGAGTGTGCACCGAGGGGTACGAGACGGGGGGGGGGGTCGGCGAAACTGCTTTGGGGGTGGAGGAATCGTCGCCTGGCGCCAGTAAAACAGCTGCACCGAGGGACTGGCGGAACGAGGCGGTGTTGAGGGGCGCACCTAGGAAAGGGCGGGCTGTCCCAGTTGTGACTGCTGTTGCGCACCGCTAAAAGGGCTGCACCGAGGGGCAGGTGGTGCGCAGCAGGGAGTGTGCACGGACGGGTGGGTGATGAGGGGTGGTCCCCTTCCCGTGTTACTGAAAGAGCTGCACCGAGGGACAGGCGGGGCGCAGCAGGGCGTGTGCACCGAGGGGTGGGTGAAGGTGATCGCCGCCCCGTATTGCTAAACGAGCTGCACCGAGGGACAGGCGGGGCGGCGGGGCGGCGGTGGAAAGGCTACGCTGGGGGTTGTGTGTCTGGTGCCCCGTGTCGCTGAAAGAGCTGCGCCGAGGGACAAGCGGGGCGTAGCAGGCAGAGTGTGCACCGAGGGGGGTACGACCAAAAAAGCCGCTTCGGGGGGGGGGGTCGGCGAAACTGCTTTGGGGGTGGAGGAATCGTCGCCTGGCACCAGTAAAACAGCTGCATCGAGGGACTGGCGGAACAAAGCTGTGTTCAAGAGCGCACCGAGGGAAGGGTGGGTTTCCTCTGGTGTGACTGTTGCTCCGCACCATTAAAAGACCGTCACCGAGGGATAAGTGTGGAGTAGTGAAGGGTCTGCACCGAGGGGTGGGTGATAGTGATTGCTGCCTCTGCCACTAGAAGAGCTGCACCGAGGTACAGGGTGGTTGCGGCTCGAATCGAACCCCCTCCCTCCGGCCGCTGCGCGACAGAAGATTGCAGGGGGCAGCGGCAGCTGGAACCGGGAAAGGCCGCCCCAGCGGTGGAGACTGGAGCAGTTCCCAATCAGGTCCGGTAGGCACGCAGGCGACGTGAGTGTCCGGTGGCGCAGTTTTCAACCAGGTCCGCAGGTTTGTTCCCAGGGAGTGGGACTAGCGTTCCGATGCCTTGCGCTCGGCCGCGGCGGCCGCCCCAACCCTAAAATACACTTTAAACTTTACACTACGCACGCTTTATCTGTTTTATTACCGTAACGGCGAACGGCGGCTTATGCACCACCACAAGCCCGGGCCCCATCCACAGTGGTGGAGCAGCTGCTCTTACACGGCCTGAGCAGCTCAGGTATAAAGCCGCTAGGGTTCCCCTCCCGCTTCCAGCTCCTCCTCATCCCACCGCGCGCTCTTTCTGTCCACCAAGAGCTGCGGGAGAGGAGCCCAGCTGGGATCCGCAGTTGCTTTTGCTGTAGGGAAAGCCAGATAGGTCAGTGGGAGGGTGACGCCATTGTAGGGGCAGGAAGAAAGGGGAATAAAGGGTCACCTCACCCTTTTTCTCTCTGCTGGGAAAGTTCCCAGGTCCTGGCCTTGGTTCAGGTATCCCCTTGTCTGGAAGAAGGAAGGCAGGTGGGGAGGTGGGCATAGGCTTGCTGCCTGCCTTTAAACTATCTCCTGCCAAATGCCAAAACAGTTCATAATTTCTCCCGCAATGCCTCTGAATTACCTTGAAATAACTGAATTCTCCCCCTGAATACCTCTGAGCTCCTCCAGGGCCTCCCGGAGAGCATCCCGCTGGTGCCGGCAGGAGCTCAGGCTCTTTTCCAGCTCAGTGGGGAGCCCAGACGGGAGCTGAAGCTTCATTTTGCTCCAGCTGGGAAGAGGCATGATGGAGCTGGATGTTCAACACGGTCACAAGGGTGCAGGGAAGGTGCCACATACCTGCTTAGGATGCTCCCAATATCCTAAAAGGGACAGAAAAGGGGTTTGAGGACTCCTCATCCCAGTCACTGCTTTGGGGGCACTTTTGGTTCCGTCAGGGTCTCACCTGAGGCAGGCGCTTGGCCTCCAGCTGCCCAATGAGCACATGGAGCTGTGTGATGCCCTCAGCCACCCGCGAAGACTTCTCCTCCTGAGCAGCTTCAAAGGCAGCATCGAGCTCTGCCAGCCGGGCCAGTGCTGCACACTCCTTCTCTGCCAGCAGCTGCTGCAGCCTCTTGAACTCGGCCCTGATGCGGCCCCGCTCGGCCTCGCTCCTCGCCTCAGAGGGGAAACACCAAAATCCCTCTTTGAACCCCTGACCAAGATCTGAATTTGTCCCTCTCAAGCTAAAGGACAACGTGCTTTGGCTGGGGCTGGGACAGGGATGTGGTGAAATAATGACCAGGGGTTAAATAACCCCTGAATCCAATCCACTTCCTTCTCCTTTTCCCTTTGCTGCTGCTACTTCCAGTCCAAAACCAACCTGGGAAATTGGAGAGCCTGGAAGTCTAAACCCCCTGGGAAGTGTGTGTGTGTGTGTGGGGGGGTAATCCGACGTTAATGAACGTCCCTTTAGGGCTTGATCTGGCCCCATGAAAAGGAAGCGATTTAAAGCAGCTGCACATGGAGGCGGCGCCCACCAAACCTGCCCAGATCTGTGCCAACGGCTCCAACCGGATCCGGGGCTTTGCAGGGAGCTGGGAAGCAGCACGGAGACGATCCCACGTGTTTCTGGGGAGGGGGAAAGAGCCTACACAGGGACCCATTTGGCTGCTGGAACAAGGAGGGTCCCCTCACCAGATAATCCATGCGCTGCTTCTCTTCACTCATTCTCCAGTCCAGAAGCTCCGCCAGCACCTTCCTTAGAGCTCGCAGGTGGGACTGGAGCCTCTCCTGGATGCACCCCGCAATGAAATCATAACATGAAGCTCGTTTGTATAATCCTGCCTTTAAAATCCTAAATTATAGGGGGGAAGAAAGCAAATTTTCCCCCAAAAGCCGCCACCTCCTGAAAGCAGGAATCAACTCCCTTCAAGCTTCTCCCATAAGGAGCCTGATGGGTGCCGTAGGGAGGATGATCTCACCTCATAGACCTCAATGGGTCTCCCCAAAAGCTCCGTGGCTGCAGCAAGCGGCTGCTCATCCATCGCTGCTTGGTCCTGAGCAGGGGTTTGCCTCTTCAGCAGCAGGAGGTGACTGAGGTGGCTTCCTCTGGGCTGGATGTTCGTTGCTGGTCCTCGAACCGCCCCTGGGATGTTCCCATGCTCGGCTCCTGGGTGGGAAGAGGCAAATTCCCTCACCCACGGCTGGCTTTAAACGTGTTTTATCCCCTCCAGCTCATCCCATTGCCAGGTTTTGCCACCTCATCCTGCAGCCATAGAACCACAGAGCTGCTTCCGTTGGAAGGAAACTTAAAGCTCCTCCAGTTCCAACCCCTGCCTGTGGCAGGGACCCCTTCCACTGGAGCAGCTTGCTCCAAGCCCCTGTGTCCAACCTGGCCTTGAGCACTGCCAGGGATGGGGCAGCCACAGCTTCTCTGGGCACCCTGTGCCAGCGCCTCAGCACCCTCACAGGGAAGAGCTTCTGCCTTGCATCTAACCTGAACTCCCCCTGTTTGAGTTTAACCCCATCATCCCTTGTCCATCTTTGGCTTGGTTTTGTCATGCACAAGTGCCCACAGCCAGATTTGGGGGTAAAAATGAATGCAATAATGCACATTTTTGTCACTGCTGGGGTTTTATTCCCTTCCCTTCATCAGTAACGAAGGGAATGGCCCTGAAATGGGGCACAAAAGACGCAATCGGAGGGTGCAGGAGGCACCTGAATGTGTCATGGCCCCATCTGCAGGCAGGAGATTGGGGCTCTCCTCCCTCCCTGGCTGATAAAAGCAGAGCTGGGACCGAGCGGAGCTGGTGCCAAAGAGAGGGGAAACCCCAAGAAGAGGGAGAAATCCAGGTGGGAAAGCAGCCGGAGGAGCCTCAAAGCAACACAAAAGGTTCGAATGGGGCAATTCCCAGCACTGCGGCTTCATTTTGGGGTGGGAAAGGGGATTTTGAACACTCTCCCATCCCATCCGTGAGGGACGGGAGCGGGTTTATCCTTGCTTTGCCCTCAGGATCTTTGCTTTGGATTTAAAGGTGTTTTCCAGCGGTTGGTTGTGGTTTTTCTTTCCTCCCTGTCTACCCATAACCAACCAAATGGGGACATTTGGGTGCGAACCAGCAAATCTCCTGCTTTTATCTTCGTTGAAGGGTGTTTTCCCACCATTTCACCACTGCTGCTCATCCACTCGCTGCTCTTCCTAGGGAAAACACATGGGAACCAGTTTAGTTTGGAGCTCTGCATGGTTTATCCAACCACTTGGGGGCTCCATTACTCTTCATGGCCCTCACGCCCGCCCTTATCTCCCTTGTGCACATTGATAAACCACCAGGGAATTAACGGATTTAATCCACCTCTGGCTCTTCCCATAGATGAGCAAAGCTCCCTTGCAACCACGGGGTAAAAACTGATTGTTTCCTTCAGGCATTTTGATTAAACGCAGTGTCTCAACCCGTTTTTCTGACACAAAAAGGCTGAGCCGGGCCCATCCACAGGACCATAACCGAGTTCTGCTCTCTCTTGGAAGGGAGGACGTGGAGGGAGCGATGTCGTTCCTCCTCAAGCCACGGCCACGCATGTGGGATCTCGCCCTGGACTATCACACAGCAAAGCAGTTTGAAGGTAACAGAAGGGGCTGGAGAGGAGCAGCGTCCCAATTCCTGATGGTTTATCACCAAGCCATATCTCTGTTAGAGGATCTGCAGCTTCACCTTCTACCTCCTGCATCCCCAGCCCCATCTCTTTCCTTTCCCACCTCTCCCTCTCTCCTCCTGCGCAGAAACCATGGATGGGGATTTCTGGGGTGGTTCTGATTCCTCCCCTTTTGCTCCCCAGTGGACGTGACCCTGGACCCGGCCACTGCTGGCCCTGAAGTGATCCTGTCCGAGGACCTCAAGGAGGCCTCCTGGGGTAGGCCTGGCCTCCCCTGGCCGGACGCCCCGGGCCGCTTCGACACCGACCCCTGCCTGCTGGGCAAGGAGGGCTTCACCTCAGGCCGCCACTACTGGGAGCTGGAGGCCACGGGGCGGTTCTGGGCCGTGGGGGTGGCCCTGGAGTCGGTGCAGAGGAAGGGCCGGGTCCTCTTCAAGCCCAGCGCCCACATCTGGGGGCTGCAGAGGTACGATGAGCTCTGCGTGGCTCTCACGGCCCCGTCCAACACCTCCGTCCCGCTGGGCAATGGGGGCATCGGGGTCTACCTGGACTACGAGGTGGGAGAAGTCTCCTTCTATGCCGTGGGCAGCCGCCAGCGCATCTTCACCTTCCCCGTGGGCTCCTTCAGTGGGGAGAGGGTGTTCCCCTACTTCTGCGTGCTCCTCTCCACCATCAGACTCTCTGCCAAGGGGTCAATCGCTGCTGGGGCTGGTTCGTGATGGCTGGAAATGCTCCCTGATGCTCCTCAGCTCTTACATTCCAGGTCTTGGAGTTGTTTCCATTACAGCTCGTGGTCCTACCTCCATATAATGCATTCCAGGTTCTATATAACTGGGTTACATCAGGGGGTTTTGGGTGCAGCTCATCCCCTCTGAAAGCCACCACCATTAAATCCATCCCAAGCTCCCTCATGGAGCTTCCCCGAGCTTCTTTCGAGCTGAAAACTTGGGTTTTCCACCCCAATTCAGCCCCTCCAAAGGTTTCTTTTCATGCCCCCCTGGCCCAGCTCCCAACCTGAATGACACCCCCCCCCCCCCCAATTTCTGCAGCTTTGAGCTCATACCTTGGGTTAAAGGGGGTTTTGTCAGCACAGGATGGGCTCCTGCTCACTTCCCCCCTGCCTTGTGCTGCTCCCCACTCTGAGGCTGTCTTGTGTGTGATGGGTTATAAATGTGCTCACAATAGAATAAATACATTTTGTTTCACTATAAGAGGGAGGAATTGTCCTCATTTCACCCCAAACACCCCCCCTGGGCTGCCCCAGGTGGGATTTCAAAGGCAATATGGGGCAAAATCAGCCAAAATTTGGTGCCCAAACATGTGTAAATGATGCCAGAGCAATTTGGGCCGGTCTCTACACTGTGACAGGGGAGGGAAAGGCAATGGACTCATTTCCATTACCCATCCAAATGCAAATGGATGGGAATTTCAGGAAGAAGATGCCCCATTGGTGATGGGACCTCGGTGTCTAGGGAAAAGAGGCAGGTTTGGATAGAAGTAGCATTTATTAGACCAAGTAGTCCCCGTGTAGGGCTATGGGAAAGAGAAACACAGATATTGGGAACAGAGCTGGAAAACCAGGAAGCAAATGGGAGGAACCTGCCCATGGTGGCAGCTGGGCTCAGGTTCTGGGGCAAAAACACCCTGAATGGGGTAAATCTTTTTACAGGAAGCACGTGCGTGAGGCCACGGTGATGGGTGATGGTGCTTATGGAAGCGGATCTGGAGGGATCAGCCCCATTCCCACATTCCAGCGCTGTGGATTTGCCAGGAAGGGGCCACAGGGATTTAAACCAGAGGAAAACTCACAAGGAAAACCAGGACACGACTCAGTGCCAGGCAATTCCCAATGCACATCCCGGGGGCTCCTTGGCCAAGCTGGGATCTTCTCCCATGCAATTCCCTTGCGTTTCTCCACCAAAGCAGCCGCAGGTTTTCAGGTGAGATTCCAGCCCTCGGGATGGCTGCGGCTCCCAGCCTGGGGGTGGCTGCACACGGAGTACTTCATCAGGGAGCACCAGTCGCTGCTGATCCCGTCTCCGTTGACGAAGGCGCATTGTCCCCTCCCGCGGACTTGGAACCTGCCCCATGGAGCAGAGGGAGCACTCAATGGGTTGCAGCTCCCATTGGGATCAACAGAGGAGCAGGGAGCACCGTTCCCAGGGCAGGACAAAATTGCTTCCTGCTCCTCAACAGGGGGAATGTGCTCAGTTTTCCAAGGGGATTTTGTGCCCTCAAGCCCACAAAGCCATGGGATGCGGCCCAAGAGCTGTAGCTCAAACAGTGTTTGCTTGCTCTCACCTCATTAAAGTTATGTCTGTATATATAAATGTATATAGATAATTATATATGTTTTATAGATGCACATGTAAAATATGTACGTATTATAGGTACAATATGTATAATTATCTACATATAAGTATATATAGATACGTATAAATATATATAAATATGTATATTAATATATATAACCCTAACCCTATATATAAATCCTGTATATAAAACCTTAGTATATATAATATCTACATATTTGTAGATACAATATATACATGTTTTTATAGACATGCTTATATTATACTATGCTACATCGTATTATAAATATATAGTATTTATATATTATATATTTATATAATTATTATAATAACATATATTTTTATATAAATATATAAAATTATAATAAATTATATATACTATAACATTATATTCTATATTGCATATTATATACTACATATTATGTAGTATGTATTAATTATATTTTTATATCTTATATGTTATATATTAAATGTTATATATGAATTATATATTATATGTTTTATATTATATAGTATAGACTATATACTATATATTATACATTATATATATGCACACACATATATATAAATGTGTGCGTTTTCTTGCATTCAACCCCTGCCCCACGCCAGCCCCTGGTCCCCAGCAGGAGCCAGGACATACGAGTCGTTGAAGAGAGACCCATTGACCCACGTCCAGGGTGCGGATCCTTCCCTCCGGAGCCCGATCCAGTAGTGCAGGGAGCCCCCGTAGCGCAAGAGGAAACGCTGCAGGGGTTAAAGCCAAGCCTCAGGCTCTGCCCCTTCGGGTGCATCCCAAACGTGCTTCCCAACAGCTCCCGATCCGCAGGGATTCCCCCTTTACCAGCTCCTCCCATGCGTCGACGGCGGCCAAATGGGCTCCGAGGGACAGGCAGAAGCTCTCGCTCCTGTTCCACTCCGCTTCGTCCTCCACGAAGTAAAAGCACTTCTGCCTGTATCCGATCCCGTTTTCCAGGCAGCTGGAACGGTCGGGAGCGGGGCAGCCGGGGCAGGAGGGGAACTTCCTCACTGGGAACGAGCGGAACAGGCGGTGGTGAGCGCTGCCCAAGGCAGGAGGCAGCGCCGATGGATCCCTCCATCCTCATCCTCGGCCACTCACCCGCCAGCGCGATGATGGCCAGGAGCAGCGCGGCCACGACCACAGTGACCCCAATGGGGACCTTCTTGTCCTTGATGCACTTGAGGCTAAAACCTGGGGACAAAACGCATGGAGGAGGCACCCAGAGCTCCCCACGGGTGCCTCAACCCCTAAATCCAGCCACAAAGCGGGGTGGGGGACACACACAGGATCACTTCAGGGTCCTCTCATCCAAGGACCTCGGTGCATCCCTTCCCTCCATATGCAATGGGCTCCATCCCTGCAAGCAGCCTTGCCCTTCCTCCCATCTTCCTTCCGAGCTCTTGGAGCTGCTCCCATCACATTGAGCCCAACCACAAGCCCCAAACCAACGTCCCCAGTACAAGACTGGTGCTTACTGGTCCCTTCCCCTGCTCTCTGCATCACTGGGGCAGCCTGGTCCTCGCCTGTGGAAGTGAAGAGTTGCTGGTTGTGAGGATATTCGGGAGGAAATCCGTGACTTTGGGTACCTTAATCCCAGGGGAAAGCAGCATTTCCCCTTCATCTGCTTGATGGCAGGAAGGGAAGCACCATTCCCACCTTCAGGAACCCAGAACAGGTTTGGTTTCCCTGCTTTCTGCTGCTTGGTTGCATTGGTTCCGTTGCTCCTCAGCCCCATCCCCACCCCAGCACCCCCAAAAAGCCTCATCCAAAGCACATCCCCGTGTCCCATCCCATCCCGAGCAGCCTTTGGGAAAGGGGCTGGCGCTTCGGTACCTGCATCACGGCCGGGTCCTGCCATCCCTGTGGCCATGGGGGCACATCCCGGCCCCGGGGATGCTCCCGTGGTCCCTAAAAGGCTCCCGATCCCCCCCTCAGACCCTCAGCGCTGCTCTCCCTCCGAGCTCCGTTCCCTCCCCTTCCCGTGTCCATGGAATTCCTGCCCCTGGACGTCCCACGCCCCACATTTTTCCCCACAAAAGCCGGCTGTTCTCCCGCATTCCGCAGCGCTCTGACCTTTCCCGGGGCTCAGCCTCTTCCCAAAGGAGCGCGCGGAGGAGCCAGCGCAAGAAGGAGCTGGGGCCGAGAAGCCCCTGGTGGCATCGGGGCAATTCCCGACGTGGGGAATGGCCGGAGCAGCCCCCAGGGGAAGGGGGCTTTGCCGGCACCAGTTTGTCCATCGTTATCCCGTGGACACTTCATGCGTCAAGAATAGTGTATTGATAACGGTGTATTGATAACGGTGTAGTGATAATGGTGCACTAATAGTGGTGTATTGATAATGGTGTATTGATAAGGGTATATTGATAATGGTGCATTCATAATAATTCATAATAATACTGTATTGATAATGGTGTATTGATAATGGTGTATTGATAATGCTGCGTTCATAATGCTGCACTAATAATACTGTATTGATAATGGTGCACTAATAATGGTGTATTGCCAATGGTGTATTGATAATGGTGCACTAATAATGGTGTATTGCCAATGGTGTATTGATAATGCTGCATTCATAATAGTGCACTAATAATACTGTATTGATAATGGTGTATTAATCCTAATTAATGGTGTTGCATTAACAAAACTTTACTGATGACGCAGTATAAAGGCTGTATTGATAATGCTATACTGATAATGCTGTATTGATAATGGTGTATTAATCCTGATTAATGGTGTTGCATTAACAAAACTTTATTGATGATGCAGTATAAAGGCTGTATTGATAATGCTATACTGATAATGCTGTATTGATAATACTGTTAATAATGGTGTATTGATAATGTTGCAACAATGTATTGATGATGCTGTATTAATAATGCTCTATTAATGATGCTGCATTGATGATGCTGCATTGATGGTGCTCTATTGATGATGCATTGATGGTGCTGGATTGCCAATAGCCTCAACACGGCACTAAAGGCTTTGGCTTCATCCACAATAACAATTATTACCATTTATTGTTATGATGGCTATTTATCATTATTGCTGTTATTTATTAGCCAGGCCGGGGCTGGCTGAAGGGCAGCGCTGTGGGGCTCTGGGTAACCGCGGCTCTGCCTTCCCCAAACCAAGCCCCAACCGCGACCGAACCCGGGCCTCAGAGGCTCGAAACACCCCTAAAATGTCCCCAAAACGCGATATTTCACCCCAAAACCGGGCCCAGAGCCGGACCGCGACGCGAGCCCAACGCGCATGCGCCGATAAAAGGGGCGGTGCCTCCGCCATCTTGTCCCGGTACCTGAGCAGCGTGAGCGATGGGGGGGGGGTGGTGTCGTTGGCTCTTAAAGGGGGCACGGCCCCGGGGTGGGGCCACCGCGGGATGCGATGGAGCGCGGCCCCGCGGGGGAGGTTGTGCGGCGGCGGGGACGGCTGCGGCGGGGCCGGGGGAGCGGGACGGGGCCTCGGCCCCCCCTTCCCTTCCGTTCCCTTCCCGTCCCGGCCGGTTCCGCCGTCCCCGCTGCGGCGGCCGCTTTAAGGCCCGGCGGCGGGAACGGGACCGCGGGGGGGGGGGGTCGGTCCGTGAGGGGCTGGGGGGGGCCCGCGGCGAGAAATGGCGGGAAGGAGGGAGGCGGGGCTAACGGGAGGGGGCGGGGCCGGGCCGGGGTGGGCGGGGCCGGGCCGGGGTGGGCGGGGCCTAGGGGGGTCCTTTCCCATGTCCCTGCATGACTCCTTCAGACCCTCCCCATGGAGCGGGGCTGCCTCCCGATCCCACTGTCCCATCCCCGTATCCCACAACCATCCATCCATCCATCCCCCTGCATCCCCCATGGAGCTGTCCCATCCCCATGTCCCACATCCATCCATCCATCCATCCATCCATCCATCCCCCTGCATCCCCCCATGGAGCTGTCCCATCCCCATATCCCACATCCATCCATCCATCCATCCCCCTGCATCCCCCCATGGAGCTGTCCCATCCCCATATCCCACATCCATCCATCCCCCTGCATCCCCCATGGAGCTGTCCCATCCCCATATCCCACATCCATCCATCCCCCTGCATCCCCCCATGGAGCTGTCCCATCCCCGTATCCCTCTATCCCATCCCCATAATCCCCTGACCGTCTCCATATCCCACTGCCTATCCATCCCTCTGCATCCCCCCATGGAGCTGTCCCATCCCTGTATCCGCTGACTCCTGTGTCCCGCAGCCGCTCCCAATGGATCCGGGCCGTCCCGCCCGGCAGCGCGCTCCGGACTGCATCCGCCGCCAGAAGCGCCGGGAGCTGGATGCGCGGCGCAGCAAGTGCCGGATCCGCATCGGGGGGCACCTGGAGCGCTGGTGCCGCCTCAAGGAGCAGCTCGGCTTCGCCCTCCATTCCCAGCTCGCCCAGTTCCTCCTCGACAGGTCCGTGCCGGGCGCCGCCATCCCTCGGGATGGGTAGCGGGAAGGGTCAACCCCGCTCATTCCCCTCTTCCCATCACAGGTACAGCTCCCACGGCTGCGTCTGGAGCCCGGGTAGGTGCCCCCCCCCGACCCACAATTAATGGGGTCCGGGAGAGCTTTATGGTGAAGGGAGAAGGTTCCCGTTGCGTTGAGGTGCTGGGCTTGGCTGTGGTGGGGTTCTTGGCATTCCCAGCTCTGGTTTTGAGGGAACTCTTTGAGAATTTGGGCATTCCAGAGGGTGGGAACCTCACCCCTGCAGGGGAAGGCAGAGGGACCCCCACGGTGCCCCGTGATGGAGACCCTGGGGCTGGTCCTCACCCATCCCTTGCTCTGGTGCCCCACAGGCGAGCCGGGTCCCGGCCTCCTCCACGCCGAAGCCCTGCAGCGCCTCGTGGTGCTGTCCCACGGCCACGGCCAGGAGTGCGGCTTCGTCCCCGACGTGAAGGCGCCGGCGCCGGGCAGCGCGGCCCCGCTCGTGTGGGAGTGCGTGGCCGGGCACAGCTTCTCCTGGGGGGCCCCCGGCAGCGAGGAGCCCGGGGGGGCCCCGGGGGGCAGCGGCCGCCGGCGCTCACTGCGGCGCGCGGGGAACGGGGAGCCTGGAGCAGAGGGGGAAGCTCCGGCGCCCGCCCCGGAGCAGAGGGAAGAGCCGGGAGCTGGCGCTGGTGACACAGGTGAGCGCCGCGTCCCCTTTGCCACCCTCATTGGCTTCTTGGTGCCCCATCTTTGACCTCTCTCCTGTCCCATCGAGCACCTTCCCGCTGGGATCGGGGGTGTCCCAAGCTCCGCTGAAAACCAGGGGGAAAAGTCGGCTTTGGGGTTTCCATGTTCCCTGTAGCAGCCTCTTGAGAAGAGGTTGAGCTTCTTCCAGTAGAATCACAGAATGGTTCGGGTTGTCAAGGTCCTTTCCAGAACTAATGATCCAGAACTGCATGGGTGGCACCAGCCAGGTCCTTTCCAACACCTCCAGCTTCCCAACCCTACTGCCAGATCCATTCCCCATCCTCTGCCTCTCCCAACATCCCAGCTTCAATTTACTGCTCCTGTCATCTTGCAGCGCCCCAGGTGCCAGCAGAGACAGGGACCACGCGGAAGGATCACGGGAGGTGAGTGCTGCCACACAGGAATCTTTCCCCAGGGAAGAAGCTTGGACCCCTCTATCCCATTCCTTGGTCATTGTGTTCCCGCAGCGCACTCATCCCAGAGGAGAAGGTGAAGCAGGGGCCTGAGCCCCCGGAGGAGGAAGAGGAGGAGGAGGATGAGGATGAGGACTTTGCCGAGGACGATGACTTGACCTACACAGATGACCTGCGTGATGAGAACTACCACCCGTCCCTGGACAGGTGAGGAGCACTTGGAGCTGCCGGGAAGGAGCCTGAGGACTGGGATCATCCCAGGCTCAGACCCTGCACCTCTGCCACCCTCCTGTGCTGCCCTCGCAGGTGGGAGGAGATGGGAGCAAGGTCCTTATGGCACTTAAATGAGGGCACCTTCTCACTGTGTCTGAGGGTCTTTGCCATAGCCAACCACATCTGTATCCCACCACATCCAGCCGTGTTTCCTATCCCAATCCTCTCTTCTCCCAGTGAGTCGGAGCTGCAGCGGCGACCAAGCCAGAGCAGAGCCCCCAAGAACCCCATCAAGGAGGAGCAGCCCCCAGAGGAGCTGAGCCTGAGCAGCTCCAGCCCATCCGAGGAGAAGAGTGGACGAGTGAGGTGGGTCACGGCGCCGTGTTCAGGTGGGGATGCTGGGGATGGGCATTGGGTGCTCGTCTTGGGGTACCCAGCTCTCCATGGCCACTGAATGAGTGTTTTGGGGATGCTGGTGGTGCTTCCCATGCCGAGGAGCCAGGTAGGAACCATCCAACCCAGTGCTATTGGGTGTTCAATCTGGGACACCACATGTCCCAGGGTGGTTTAATCCTTGTCCTTGTGATGCTGCCGTCACAGAGCAGAGCTTGTTGGGTGCTGGGGCTTGCCAAGCAGCTTCACTATGAGGGGTTTAATGAGTCTTCGTCTCATCCACTGCGTCTTGTGGAGCTGGTCCTGGGTGGTTGGAGATGTGCTGCTGGGGCAGGGGTGCTCCAGGAGGGGCACAAAGACCCCTTAAACCACCACCATGAAGCTTCTGAGCAGCCTGGAGGTTGTAGCAGCAAAAACATCCATCATCCATGCATCCATCCCTCCATCATCCATGCATCCATCATCCATCCCTCCATCATCCATGCATCCATCATCCATCCCTCCATCATCCATCCCACCCCTCCTCACCTGGAGAAGCACAGACACTGCTCTCACTCATGGATATGGGGCAGAAGTGAGGTTGCCCAAGGGACAATGACGCCGATGCTGACTCCATCTGCAGCCTCTGCTAAGCGCTGCTCTTTGCACTGAGGGTTGGGTTTGATCCTGCCTTCCCAGCCTCGACATTCCCAGCTTTGTCCTGAGCTCATCCCTTTATTGCTGGCTCTTGCAAGGGTGTTAAGGAGAGGTTGGTCTCGGTGCTGAAGCCAGAGGCTGGCCCATGTGGGGCTGGCACAGAAGGAGCTGGCTCCTTCCTGCACCTTGTAACAACAAGGAGGGGGTCAAACTCCCCTTTTTCACTGGAATGAGCATGTTCACCTCATCCTGCTCCATGCATCCAATGGGAGACGGGACCAGCAGGCCCAGGCGTAAGTACCTGCTGCTCCACACGGGAGCCTTTTCACTCGGACATGGGATTCCTGCTTCCTTGTGGTGCTCAGCACCCTTCCTGCCTCCTTCCAGCTCTGGAAGCGCCTCCTGCTTGTTGGAAGAGTGAAGATCCAGGCCCAGCAATGGAAAACGTGATGGTAAAGCTGGATTTGCTTTTCTCCTCCCCTTGCCCGTCGCTGCGCTACGGGGCACCAGCTCCCACATTATTCCACCTGAGCTCTAGGCTGGATTCGGTTACAGGGATGCTGTTTCCCAGCCTTTGGTTCATTTCCCCCCTTTTCCTTGTTGCAGCACCTGGAAGAACGGAGCTAAAATGCCCTCTCCTGAGCCCTTGGCATGTTCATCCCAAAGGTAACCCCATCCTGAGCTCAAAGCATGTTGGAAGAGGTTGTGGACGGAGATGCCCAGCCCCGTGCTGAGGCTGAGCTGTCTATTGCAGTCTCTTTATTCTCCCCCCCCAAGCAGTCCTGGTTTTAACACCCTTTTCCTTCATTCCAGGACGGGAGCCCGGAATTCCCTATGGATAAATCATAGCTCAGATGAGGCTGGTGTGAGGTTGACACCAACCTCAATGCCCTGGGACGTGCCCAGACCCATGTGAAAGGCTTATAATGAGCAATAAAGAGCATACTCCCATTTCTAACGCCTCAAAGGTGCATTTGTCAGCGCCGCTTCCCGCTGGGATGGGGAGAATCCCTCAGGATGGAGGAAACAGCAGGGAAAGGGTGGCCAGGGGCTGGTTTCAGTGTGGGCTTCGCCTGTGGGGGGACAAGAGCCTCACTCCAGCCCCTTCTCTCCCATTGCAGCTGCAAGAGGCGAGCGCGGGCGAGCGATGAGGACGTGGCGCAGATCGGCCCCAAGAGGATCCGGTGCGTGGGGCTGGGGGCTCCATCCCCTTCCCGTGTGCTGGAACCCAGCCTCTGGGGCCGGGGGGGGAGGAGGACCTCATGGGGGACCGGAGCATCCTCCCCGACGTTGGTTTCCCACCCTGTATCCCATAGGAAGGCCGCCAAGCGCGAGATCCTCCTGTGCGACTTCGAGGGCTGTGGCAAGATCTTCTCCAACCGCCAGTACCTGAACGTGAGGCATCCCCATGGGGCAGGGTTTGCCTTGTTGGAGGTGCTTTGGGTGCTGTCCCAGAGCTGGAACGGGGCAGCCTGGCTTGCCCATGGAGCCATAGGACTTGTTGGCCCCATGTGTGCAGCAGCCTGAGGGCGCTTCGGTCCCACCTCACGCTTCAGGGGGGTGGAACGGGGCCCTTTGGGCTTCCTCCAAGTGCATCCTCCCGTCACCGACCTCTCTTCTCCCCACACACCAGCACCACAAGAAGTACCAGCACGTGCACCAGAAAACCTTCACGTGCTCAGAGCCCAGCTGCGGCAAATCCTTCAACTTCAAGAAGCACCTCAAGGAGCACGAGAAGCTGCACAGCGGTGAGTTGGGCACCTACCCCCCGCCATGGGGCTATAGCTCCCCTCCTAAAGCACATCCCAACACGTCCCTGCCTGCCCCTGAGCCTGGATCTGCTCCTGACCCCTTGTTTCCTCTGCTCCCAGACAAGAGGGACTACATCTGTGAGTTCTGTGCCCGCTCCTTCCGCACCAGCAGCAACCTCATCATCCACAGGCGCATCCACACAGGGGAGAAGCCTCTGCAGTGAGTACTGGTCCCACCACAGTGAGCACAGGCTCTGGTGCTTTCTCCTCAGTGCTTTTCAGCCTGAATTCATCAGGTTTTCAACCCAAGTTGAGTTTCTTGGCTCCATGGGAGAGCCAAGGTGCTCAGGGCTGGCTGTTAGATATTGCTTTGCCTCAAGGTTTGGGGTTGGATGAGCTCTGAGCAGCAGCTTCAGCATCAGCTTCAGGGTGGGCTTGGTTTGGAAGAGCTGAATAAGATGGGATTTAAGGAGAGCAATAAGCTGGGCTTAAGGAGAGCAATAAACTGGGATTTAACAAGAGCAATAAGATGGGATCCCTGGCAGTGTTCAAGACCAGGTTGGACGAGGCCTTGGGTGATACGATTTAGTGTAAGGTGTCCCTGCTCACGGCAGGGGGGTTGGAACTAGATGATCTTAAGGTCCTTTCCAACCCTAACTATTCTATGAGGGCAATAAGCTGAGTTCTAAAGGAGAGCAGTAAGCTGGGATCTAAGGAGAGCAATAAGCTGGGTCCTAAAGGAGAGCAGTAAGCAGGGACCTAAGGAGAGCAGTAAGATGGTCTTAAGGAGAGCAATAAGATGGGCTTAAGGAGAGCAATCAGCAGGGACTTAAGGACAGCAATCAGCAGGGACCCAAGGAGAGCAATGAGCTGGGATTTAAGGAGAGCAATGAGCTGGGTCTAACCAGAGCACTGCCCCGCCTTGCCTGGAGGCTGAGCCACCCGTGCTGTGCTGCGGTGTCTTCGCTAAGCCCCCCATTGCAATCCCAGCGCCGAGCTGAGGTGGGCCTGGGTCCCCCTGGTGCTCAGCACCCGGTGAGCCCCATTCCTGCCTCTCTGCCCCATTGCAAGGTGCGAGGTGTGCGGCTTCACGTGCCGCCAGAAGGCCTCCCTCAACTGGCACATGAAGAAGCACGGCGCCGCTGCCGGGTACCAGTTCTCCTGCGAGCTCTGTGGCAAGAGGTTCGAGAAGAGGGACAACGTCGCGGCCCACAAGAGCAAGAGCCACCCCCCCGGCGAGCGCCCAGCACCGCCGGCCCCAGTGCCCATGGAGGGGCCGGCCCCTGGGGCCACGCTGGGGAGCCGTGCGGACCCGGAGGAGATCCCGCCTCCCGTTGCTGAGTATGGGGAAGGAATCGGGATCCAGGATACGGGAGCATCCCAAGGCCAGGGGATGGAGGGTGCTGGCTCATAGGACGCATCCTCCTTGGACTGAGATCAGAGGATGAGGGGTGATGGACAAGGGTGATGCTGGACCCCGCAGCAGTGCCAAGAGTACAAGGAGTGGGGAAGGAACGGCGCTTCCCAGCTTCTCTGCCAAACCCTGGGCTCACACACATGGAGCTTCCTCCCTGAATCTCTCCCAATGTGAGGGTGCCAACGGCACCAGCAGCATCCTCAATAAAGACTCATTCCATGTCCAAGGGGGTTTCCCCACTTCCAGCGGCCATCTCAGTGCTGAGTTGCTATGGAAAAGAGGGGGAAAGGGAGATTTGCCCTGGTTTTGGCCAGGTCAACACCAAATCCTGAGGTTTTCCATGTTCAGCACAATAAAACGATGATGGAGGTGGAGGGGACTGAGGCCAAGGTCTGGCCTTGGACATGGGTGTTATTGATGTGGTGATGGTTCCCCATAGCCTATGAATGCCATTTACCTCTTCCTGAGCATTCCAGGGATGCTCCGTGATACCCATCTGGGGGCACCCCCATCAACACCCTCCCCAGAGAGCTGACAGGGACAAGGACAGGCGTCCGCAAGCCCCATTCACCTCGATGAGGGTGGCCGAGGACCCGAGAGCAGCTTTTCCTGCTGCAGGCAGCCCAGGAAACAGGAATTTGGGGAATTCCAGGGATTTTGGTGTTAGTTTTTTGCACAGCAACTTTTATTTCCCCACTAAACAGTGACAGGGCAGAGACAAGAAAGCATCGTGGAGCACACGAGGGTGGGCCAGGGGTTATACGCACGAGATCACATTGAAAACAAGCTTCCCCCTCCTTCCCAACGGATACAAGCTGGATTCCATCGGGCTCTACCCACAATGCAACCCTAAACTGCTGCTTTGCTGCATGTCCCTATGGCTACACCCCAAAACTCATCCCATCTCCCTCCATTCCCAACCCTACGGATGCTCAGTGCTACTGGGGGAAGCGGTGAGGAAGGGGATGAGGTTTTGCTCTCTTGGTGCTACCAACAGCGAGGAGATGAACTCGGCCCTTTCCCAAGGGGAAAGGAAAGCAAGGATGAGGTGAAAGGGAAGCTAAAAGGTGACCTGCACAGCAACTGCATCAGGAACCAGGGCTGGGAATGGTACCTCTGCTCCTCACGCTGGTTTTCCAGCCTTCTAGAGCTTCCTGGGGTGCACAAAAGCTTTGGAACAATGCAGGATGCAAGTAACCCCTATGGGAGCTTTCGTCCCTGGTTACATCCCTGTTCACATGGGGCAGCAAACTTGAAACAGAACAGCAAACAAAACACATGGGGTTACTTCTACAACAAGAATAACCCCACAACCAGGCTATTTCAGCCATCACCCTCCACGGCTGATGCCCCGGAGGAAGGTTTTTGGTGTGAAGACGACTCAAAACCGGAAAGCAACAAGAAAACAGCAGAACAAGGGACAATGAGGAGGTCTGGGGGGCTCTGCCTGAAAGCAGGGCGGGAAAAGGGACAGGATCCTACTTGCAGGTCACCTCGGGAGGGCTAAAGAAACTGGAGGCTCAATTGCAGAGGGAGAGGGAGGAGCCCACATAGAAGAGCCAGAAGAAGGGGAAGATCTTCTCGGTGAAAGCAGCGGTGAAGGTGAAGATCGGAGCCATGTTGTCGGCGTTGTAGAACGCCACCCACCCCCCCTCATAGTCCAGGTAGACCCCGATCTTCCTGGGCCTCTCACACAGGGACAGGGGCGTCTCTGGGGAGGTGAAAGCCTGGTACTGATCCCAGTTCTTCCCTTTCCAGTTCAATCCCACCGCCCAGATCCCCTCCTCGGGAGCAAAGTCGATCTTCTCCTTCCTCCGCACGGACTCGCGCGCTGCCCCCAGCACCCAGCTCTCCCCATCTCCCACCTCCACCTCCCAGTAGTGCCTCCCAGCCACGAACCCCTCCGCTGCCAGCACGCAGAAGGAATAATCGAATCTCTTGGGATTTGCCGGCAGCTCCTGCGGTGCGCTCCGGAGCCGCACGCTCCTCTTGTCCTCTGACAGCACCAGGTAGGGGTTGGCTGTGTCTGGGTCCAGGGAGAGGTCACCTGGGAGGAGGGAAACAGGGATGTGAGCACCTGCGAGCCAAGGATCCCACTCTCCAAAGGGATTCGTTGTCTCTGCCCCACAGGAGGGGGTCACCTCCAACTTTAAGCACTCAAAGAGCTGCAGGGAACAAGGATCGGGCTCCATATCCTAATGCAAGCAGAGGAACAGGCAGATCCCTGCTGGAAACCCTCCAGCCCGCCCCATCCCAGGCACCTCCTCACTCTGGAATAGAGATTTCTGGGCTGAAGTAGCATTTTATAGGATCGTGGGATGGTCTGGACTGGAAGGAACCGTAAAGCTCATCCAGTTCCAACCCCTGCCACAGGCATGGACACCTTTCCCTAGCCCAAGCTGCTCCACACCCCAGGTTCCTTCAGTCACTTCCAAGTGCTGGAATAAGCAAATATCCTCGTGTTTAAGGGCTGGCTCTGTACTCAGGGGATGCTCAGGAACTGGCTGTGAGCAGGGAACATCAGAGGCTGCTGAGAGCTGGCTCCATCCTGCACCCACCACAGAGATTGCAAAGTCCATCCCGGAGCGGATCCAACACCCAGGAGCAGGGACAAAGGTCTCTTGCAGAGTCCTCTTAAACGCCACCAGCCCCAGGGCTGCACCTCCCAGGGCCTCTCTGAGCACTGGGATCATTCCCCCTCTTCCCTTGGCAGCAGCAGCACCGGTTTTCCTCCTCTCCTGCCTGGAGAAGCCCAAACTCCTGCATTAAGGACACGGAGGAAGGCGATGTGCTCACCTGTGTCATTCTCCAGCTCGAACCTGAGGTTCTCTGAGGGGAGAGAAGAAAGAAGGTCAGCTGCTGTTGTGCCAGGGGACTTGACAATCACACAACCTTGATCCCTGCTGCATGGCAAGCCACCCACTGCCACTGCTTGGGAACGGCAGTGGATGGATACCTCCAGAATCCAAGGAATTCAAGGGCAATGTGCTGCTGCTCTTGCTTTTCACGAGCAGTTGCTCAAATGGAGCTGTCCCAACAAGGGGGAAGCAAGAGCACAACTCAGAGCTGTGTTTTATACTGAACTCAACACCAGGTTTCCATGGGAAGCACCAGCTTCGGGAGGGAACCTGTCCCAGGGCTCACCCTTGAACTCCAGCAACACCTCCTTCAGCACTGCACTCTTCTGGGAGAAGCTCTTGAGTTTCTTCTCCAGCTCTGTGAAGCCAGCCTCGGGCTTGCAGAACATCCAGCTCTCAAAGCTGGGGACAAGAAAGTAGCATTAGGCTCCCAATGGGAATAACTGAACCCCCAAGCTACAGGCAGGAAAGAAAGGGAAGGTTTGGGGTTGGATTAGTATCCTCCTCACCCAACAGCTGAGAATTAGGACTAGTGTGGGGGGTTCTGCCCCTCACCACCCAAGCTACTCTGCGGTTTCCCTCTGGGGGATGCTCAACCCCTGCCACAAGCCTGGGTTTGGGGTTGGTGACACCCTGGTATGGGTGAGAACCACAGGGGGGGAGCCGGAACCCCCAGTGTGAGCCCCAGCAAGGGCTCAGCTTCTCACCTGCTTCCAGATGGGGCAACAACCTGGAAAGAGAGGAAAACACCAAGAAAGGATAAGCTCAAAGTCTCCCAAATCCTCCCCCAAACCAGCCCCATGACTGCTGTGCTGAGGGAGCAGCTCCCAGCCCATTCCCAAAGCATGGGCCCATGGAAATGGCAGAACCAGTCCGTAATTATGAGGTTTTTCCCTTCCCCTTTCCTTTCCAGGGTGGATGGGAAAACCAACGTGGTTTTTAAAGGAAAACATGACCGTGCCAAGCTGCAAACCCCACGAGGACACAGGGCTCACAGCAACGGACACCAAGGGTGGGGGTCAGCACCCTGGCAACGGATCCCGATCCCACACCCATCCCACAGATCTCACCTGCCCGGGCTGGCTCCCGGGGCTGCTCTCTCCTCCCTGCTCAGCCAGCAGCTTGTCGAGCTGGGCGATCTCCTCGGAGAGCCGGGACACGCTCTCATCCCTCCTCTTGAGGATGTCTTTGTCCAGCTCTTCCAGGCGGGATAACAGGAGCTGCTCCTTCTCCTCCAGGAAGCCCCGGAGCTCCTTGCACTCAGCCACGATCTTCTGCCTCTCCACTTCTGTTTGCTTCTGCAAGATCCCAGTGGGGAGCCCACGTGAGATGGACACCCCATGGCTGGGAGGGGGGGGGCAGGGACCCCCCCCGGGTACTCACCAGCAAGTCCTCGCTCTGTCTCTCCCTCTCAGCTTTGGCTTCTTCACGCCCTTTCCTCAGGGAGCTCAAGTGCTCCTGGGGCACCTCCTGCAAGGACAAAGCAGCTCTGTTGGGAATCCTGCCTACCTGGCATCAGGAATACAGAGGGATGGGATGGGGGGGTCCCTCCAGTGCTGCTGCTGAAACTGGGCAAATCCCATCAAACCTGGGGGGGGGGGGGGGGGGTGAGGCGGAGAACACCACGAACCCAAAGAGAGGTGAGGCCAACACTGCGCCGTGTCCTCCCCTGCCCCATCACCCTCAACCCTTAGTTTGGGGCAAGCCAAAAACTGCCCCCAAACCAGCCTGGAAACAGATACGAGGGAAGGGAGGAAGGGCAGGAAAGCAAAAGGCCAGGCTAGAGCCAGTTTTTAGCCCTCTGCAAGCACAAACCCCACAGGAGAACCCCTTTTCTGCCCCTTGGGATCACCTTTTGGGATGAGCCTTCACATCCCAGCCCCCCACGACTGCCTGAACCCCACTGAGATGGGGAGGGGTTGGCTGCCTCCAAGCTGCGCAGCGACTTTACCAACAGCTCACTGTTGGAAACTGCCCTTGTTTGAAGGCCTTTGGCCTCCAAGGCAGACAGGGAGATGCTTAGCAACGCTCCACAGGAAGCAGCAGGGCTTTGGGCAGCAACCAACGGCTCATCTTGTACAAATACAACACAGAGCTGCAGAGATTCTGTCTGTAACCAGGGTTTGGTGCCATGGGAGAGAACAGCAACGACAGCAGAAGCAGGAGCTGCAAACAGCCCCCAGAGAGGCAAAAAGAGATGGTAAAAACGCATCAAAGCAAATTAAAAAGGGGGAAAAGCAGCAAAAAAGCAATTTTCAACAGGCTAAAGGTGCTGAATGAGGACCAGTCCCACATTTGGGACGAGGGGACAACTCAAGCTCCAACTTCACAACCACTGGAGATGGTAAGGCAGCCATTGCAGCACCAGATTCAGTACAAACCCCTCTGGAGGCACCTGCCCCGATGCTGGTAACTCAGGAACGGAGGGGCTGTGGTTGAAGCTCCCACCCTCCGTGCCCCGATGCACCGGGATGGCTCCGGCTGCACCGGTGCCACCTCCCGTTCCTCCTCCATCCGCTGCTGCGCACTGCACATGCCGCCGGCATCTTGGCTCCCCCAGGCCTGGGCTGCCCGGGGCCAGGCTCCCGCCCTCGTTAGCCTCTTCAGTACTAATTAATGACTATTTCCAACGGGGAACCCCCCCACATGGCCCCGGGGGAGTCTCCCCTGCGCCCTATGGAGGTTCCGGGTGGTTGAACGGCTCCGGATTCACTCTGCGTCACACGGCTCGATCGCCCCGTGTTGGGCTACTCCGAGGAGAAAGTCCCTTCGGGGGGGGTGTCCCGCTCCACTTCAAGCCCTTATTATGCACCCCCCCACCCCCTGGAGACAGGCCCCATGACCATTCCAGAGCATTCCTGCCCATGGAAGCAGGTTTGGGGTGTTTAACGGTATTCTGCACACTCACACCAGTGCAGGGTAATCTCGCACTGGCTGCACCCCTCCGCTCCCAGTACCTTCCCAATTAAACCAGCTCCGTTTTGCACCCCCATTCTCCCTGGGGTGCTGGAGAACTGAGTCCCTATTGCACAACCTGCCCCACCACACGGCTTGGCCAGGGGATCCCCATTCTGCACCCTACACCCTGTATCCTCACTGCATCCCAGGTACGTTTAATGGACACGGAAAATGCATCGAGGGGATGCTTTATGCACTGGGGGATAAGCAGTCACCTCTGTTAAGGACAGGGAGTCCCTGCTGCACCCAAGGGCACTGGGGGGGGGCTTCCCTGGTGCACCCCCATCCCGTGGGGTGTGGGGGGGTATCCCTGCGGTTCCTCCATACACTTATCCCCTACACATCCCCCATTGAGCGGGGTCCATCCCGCATGGAAGAAGGGCTCCCCAGTGCATCCCAACACCTCGGGGGGGGGGAAGGCTCCCAGTGCCCCCCGCCCCACACTGACCTCTGGGGCATGGGCCGCCTCCTCGGCGGGCAGCACGGTGTGGGTCCGGTGCTCGCGGGACAGGTGGCAGACAACGCAGACGGCGCGGCGGTCCTGCACGCAGTACAGCCGCAGCGGCTCCCCGTGGCGGGGGCAGCGCGGCGGGCCCGGCGGGCCGGGCGGAGCGGCGGCGGGCAGCGGCGGCGAGGGCGCGGGAGGCCCCGGCGGCGGCTCGGCGGGGCTGGGCGGCAAGCCGAGCTGGCGGACGATGTGGACGATGTTACCGAGGGAGCGGTTGGGGCGGAAGAGCCGCTGCGGCACCGGCTCCCGGCACTGCGGGCAGCAAAGGCGCCGCGCCGAGTCCTCCCAGCACTGGGTCACGCAGGCGCGGCAGAAGTTGTGCCCGCACTCGGCCACCAGCACCGGGTCGTTGAAGTACTCGAGGCACACCGGGCACGTCAGCTCGTCCTGCAGGCTGCGGGCCGCGCTGCAGGGAGCCGGGGGAACGCTGGGGGGTGCGGGCGGCGCCTCCATCCCGGCTCCCGGCTGCTCCGCTCCGATCCGCTCAGCTCCGCACCCCAGGCCCGACTGAGCCCGCGGGAGCGGGGCCGCGCCTGCGCGGGCAGAGGGGGGCGTGGCCGCGCCTGCGCACAACGAGGCGGGGAGGGGGGGAAGGCCGCGTCTTTCCAGCAGGGGGCGCGCTGCGCGCGATGGGGGGGTGCATGGCGCAGCCGCCGTGTTGTCATGGAAACAGGCATGGAGTCCATCATGGATGGGATCGGTTGCGAAGGGCTTAAACCTCATCCAGTCCCAACCCCGGCCACCTCACACTAGTGAGTGTTGCTCCAAGCCCAGTCCAGCCTGGCCTTGAACAGGTTCAACTCCATTCAACCCACTCCAGTGTCCCACCACGCTCACCGGGAAGAGCTTCCCCATCTCCAACCTGAACTTCCCTGTTCCAGTTCCATCACCCCTTGTCCCATCCCTGCTGCAGGTCCCTCTCCACACCCTTATACCCCCCTTGAAGCTGCTCTGAGGGCTCCAAGCAGCTTCTCTCCTCCGGCCCCAGTGTTCTCAGCCGGGTCCCACACAGGAGCTGCCCCAGCCCCTGCTCGGCCTCCTCTGGACGTGCTCCGACAGCTCCATGTCCTCATGCTGCGGACACCAGAGCTGCACGTGGGGCCTCACCGCGGCGGAGGACCGCACGGTCAAAATGGCGGCACCCGTGCCCGCTTCCAAAATGGCGGCCTCGCCCTCAGGCAGGGAGAGCGACAAGATGGCTGCCGCCTCCCCCTCCGCCTTGCCGCCAGCAGGGCCTTGCTCAAGATGGCCGCAGGAGGTGAAGCCTTGGCGTCCATCTTGGGTGAGGGCAGCCAGGCGGCGTTGCCACGGCGACGGGTCCTGCCGAGGGGCAAAAGCCCCCCTAAAGCGCTGTGGCCATGGTGGGACGGGGCCGTTTGGGAGGCACCTTTGAGCCCCCAAACCCCTCATGGGGCCGTTAAACACATCTCGGACGTGCTCCGTGCTGACATCGCCAACATCTGTTGACAGAAAACCCCACGTTTACCCCCAAAACCAGCCCCTTTTCCCGTTGGGAACAGCCGCTGCAACGGGAGGAGCAGCCCCGTGGTCCACACCTATTAAAACATCCCGCAGGATGCTCACCCCGCTCCAGTTTGAGCCCCAAAGTGATTCTTAATGGGTTTATAACCAATAAATCCATGGCGTCCCGCTCCGCCGCAGCCCTCCCTAAGGATAACACTCCCAGGGCACATCCCCATCCCCACAGAGGGGCAGAAACCCCCAAACCATCGCGTTTTAGCCCATTTTGAGGCGAAAACCCCACTTTCCCAGGTCTTTAATGAGCATTTGTTCGCTTTCCGCCCAGAGACATGGCCGCTGTTGCCACCAGAGGGCCCTGGCCCCGGTGCCGAGCTCCTTCTCCCTCTCTCCTGGCTTTTTCTCCCTCTAATTCCTTGCTTCCTTCCTTCCCCCCCCCCCCCTCCCCTTTTTAACTCTCATTGCTCGGGCTACCAGAGGGACCGCGCCGCATCCCTGTGGTCCCCGCATCCCCACACACACTCCGGCTTGTTTGGGGGCGAAAAAGGGGGGGGTTGGGGGTTAAAAGGGAGGGGGGGGGCATCTATGGGCTTTGCCGACAGCACCTCCCGAGCCGGCGACCGCAGGTAACGGGGAGATTCGGGCTTCGGGTGCAAAAAGAGAGCGGAAAATGGCTCCATTTCCATCGCATCCCTTTGCTTTCCCCTCTATCCTTTCCCTTCCCCTCGCCTCCCATCCCCTCGGCGGCGCCCGCCCGCACCAGTCTCCACATCTCCAGATGTGGAGAATAAACCCCAAATCCCCCCCAAACCACCCCAAAATCCCCCCCAAACCCCATCCCTGCCGGCGCCCGCCCGTCCTTCCCCTCTCCCTTCGTTCGAGAGGGTGGGTTTGGTTTGGGATGGGCTTTGGGAAGCAGGGAGGTGCTGCGAGGATGGGTGTTCCTGATAACCCGCTCTCTTTATGCTCTCAGCAGCAGGGCAGTAAGGGAGGTGCTGATGGGGCTGCACGATAAAGAGCAGGAATAGAGCGAAACCTGCGGGAGGGGTCGGCTTGAGATCACCCTTTTATCCCCGGTACCAGTGAGTGACCGCCTCCTGCACATCCAGCGCATCCCGGCCTCCATCCTCCACAGCTGGAATAGGCAAACAGTGCCTCTAAACCGGCACTCATTGGGATCCCCATGCACCCACTGAGCAGAGGGGCATGCTTCCACGGTTCTGGTTCCCCTTTCTGCTTCCTTCCCGTTAATTCTGGGGGAAAAGGATGTTCATCCGCATTTGCTAGAGGCAGAGGGTATAAAGTTCATGTAGGATGTGGGGAAATACAGGGCAGGGAGAGGTTCATCAGCTGCCCGTCACCACGCTTCATGGCTGGTTTGAGATTCAGCTTATTAAACACCAATAATCTATAGATTACAGATGGAGGGCTCTGCAGGAAGGGTCCATCCCGTGGGATAACGGCTCATGGGGGTGACCTGCTTCCTTCCCCAGCCATGGAGCCGTACGTGCTGCTGGACCCGCGACAGAGAGCGCTCTATCGTGACGTGATGCAGGAGAGCTACGACACGCTGATGGCGCTGGGTGAGGAGCATCCCCCCTCCTGCAGAGGAGGGTTTGGGATGGATGGATGGGTGATGGAAGTATGAATAGACGGAAGGATGGATGGATGGATGGATGGATGGATGGATGGATGGATGGATGGATGGATACATGGATCCTCATCCCAGCATCAGGGACATGGGTCTCTCCTGCCCCATGCTGCTCATTCCCTCTTCTCTTCACCAGAATTCCCTTTCCCCAAGCCAGATCTGCTGCCCCGCCTGGCCCACGGGGGTGAACCGAGAGCCCTGGATCTCCATGTGCCCAGAGACACCCCGGCTGCAGGTGAGCCTCTGGTCATGCCTTGACCGCAGCGGGGGCTCACAGGGAAGCTTCCCCTTTTCCTACCCCCTTCCCTTGGCTCCTGCCTGGGTTCTGTCTCTTTGTGCCCCGCAGAGGATGGAGCAGGAGCGGAGCGGGAGCCCCCTCAAGGCAAGGAAGAGCCCCAAGAGGTGAAACCCGAGGAGCATCCCCCGAGCCCCGCGGAGACCGGGGCGAAGCCGTGCGGCAGTGGGGGCGCGGGGGACCCAACCTCCCAGCCCAGCACCACGTGCGGGGAGTGCGGGAAGAGCTTCAGCCACAAATCAGCCCTGGTGAAGCACCGGAAGATCCACAGCGGCGACCGCCCGCACGCGTGCCCCGACTGCGGCAAGGGCTTCATCCAGCGCTCCGACCTCACCATCCACCAGCGGGTGCACACGGGCGAGCGCCCCTACGCCTGCGCCCACTGCGGGCGCCGCTTCAGCGTCAGCTCCTCCCTGCTCACCCACCAGCGCACCCACGCTCCCGGCGGCCACCGACCCAACCGGTGCCCGCAGTGCGGCCGCGGCTTCGCCGACCCCGGCGCCCTCGACCGGCACCAGAAGAGCCACTCGGGCGGGAAGCCCTTTGAGTGCGGGGTGTGCGGGAAAGCCTTCGCCTGGAGCTCGCACCTGGAGCGGCACCGGCGCATCCACACCGGCGAGAAGCCCTTCCAGTGCGGGCAGTGCGGGAGAGCCTTCGCCTGGAGCTCGCACCTCGACCGCCACATGCGCACCCACGCCGCTGCCCCCGAGGAAGAGGAGGAGGAGGAGGAAGCAGAGCCCCCGCCGCCCGCACTGAAGTGCGTTGATTGCGGCAAGCGCCTCAACCACCAGACGGCCCCGCAGCGCTTCAAGCACAAGGGCACGCAGACGCTGCCCAGCAGCAGCCCCCCGCGGCCCCATCGCTGTGAGCAGTGCGGCAAATGCTTCTCGCAGAGCTCCAACCTCCTCAAGCACCGGCGCGTCCACAGCGGTGAGAGGCCGTTCCCGTGCCCGGTTTGCAAGCGCTGCTTCCGCTGGCGCTCGGCGCTGGCCAAGCACCAGCGCACCCACGGCCAGCAGCAAGGCAAAGCCACCGAGGGAGCCGGCGCCGGCACCAAACCGTACCCGTGTGGGGCGTGCGGGAAGCGCTTCGGCTGGGCCTCGCACTTGGAGCGCCACCGCCGCATCCACACCGGGGAGAAGCCGTTCCGCTGCGCCGAGTGCGGCCGAGGCTTCGCCGTGAGCTCGCACCTGGAGCGGCACCGGCGGGTGCACACGGGCGAGCGGCCCTACCGCTGCGGCGACTGCGGCAAGAGCTTCGCCGTCAGCTCCACCTTGCTGGCGCACCGCCGCACGCACGGCGCCCAGCCCGGCCGGCCCCACGCCTGCCCCGACTGCGGCAAAGGCTTCAGCACCGTGCCCGGCCTCGAGCGGCACCGGCGGCTGCACCGCGGCGAGAAGCCCTACCAGTGCGGCGTGTGCGGCAAGGGCTTCGCCTGGAGCTCGCACTACGACCGGCACCGGCTCAGCCACACCGGGGAGAAGCCGTTCTCCTGCGCCCACTGCGGGAAGCGCTTCGGGCGCAGCTCCCACCGCAACCGGCACCAGCGAGCCCACACCACGAAGCCGCACTCCTGCCCCGACTGCGGCGAAGCCTTTGGGCTCGGCGCGGCGCTGGCGGCCCATCGGTGCCGGCACGGCCCCGCGTCCCTGCTGCCAGCGGCGTGGTGGGGAGGGGAGAAGCGAGGGGGGACTCCGACGCCCCCAGAGCCCTGGGCTGAGGAGCCCAGCGCTGTGTTCCAGCAGCACCCAGAGCCTTCCTCCTCCCCATCCTCCTCGCCCCGGGGCTGGGCGGCCAAGGCCGACCTGCCCCACACCACGGCGTGGAGAGGCGGGGAGGGGGACACGATGCAAAGCGATGCCTCTGCCCCACAGGAGCATTGGGCTTCCCTGCCTTCCCCCCCCAGCTCCTGAGATGGGGCGGGGGGGGTGTGGGGTGTGTGAGGAGTGCTCAGAGCCTTTTGGGGATGCCCCATAGCCGTAGTGGGTGGGGAATGGGGGTGACGCGGTGGGGAGGGGGCGTGGGGTGTAGAGATCAGCAGAGGGGCTTTGGGGGGAGACCAGGAGAGGAGGGACGGGATTTGGGGAGGGCTGGGTGATAATTCAGG